CGCTTCATTCTGTAGCTGTTGACTCGAACTGAACCGTTGAGACGTACAGCGCACACTCGAGCCAATGCAACAACCAGGGAGGTGTGGGTGGGTGTGATTCATACGCCTCTTCTTGGTTGGTTTTGACTCGGTTTTTAGTCAACTCTCCTAGGTGAACTGCCAGTGGTTCACCGACCCGGTTACAGCTCCAGATATTGGCTTTTCATCTTCGCACTTTAGTGGGAAAATACCTCCACGAGGACACAGTGGGTAGGGCTTCCTCTGTAGAAGCTATTTGAGACGCTTGATCGCGAGGTGCGAGGGAGAGGTGACCAGCAGCAAACTGAGAAACCCATCCCCGGCCATGGTGAGGCTTTCGGAAGCAGGGGTAGCTGCGATTACACAAAAATGGCCATTTATCCTGTGTAGTGCAAGACAGATGCAACATACAAACAGGATAGAGAATATAACTGCTTAGGAGGGTGAAAAGCCATCCTCGTCCTAGTGGGCATAGACCATCTTGAATCCCAGGTCAGGGTCTGTACTGGGAACCTCCAAATGTGCACTATCATGTTCATTCTTCCGATTAGAATGACCAATGGGGCATGCGTGCGTAGGTTCCTGAGCTCGAATAGAAAGTTAGATTGTGAATTGGTTGTATGCCATCGTCACTGGGTCTTGTGATTACTAACTGACTGAAGGATATCACTNTTAGGTAGCAGTGATTGTGTGCATAAAACGTACCCTGTTTACGATTTCTGAAGGCCAGCACCAGTAGATTTAGGAACCTTGGTGGCATGGATTTAAATTACCTTCGCAGAAGGCAAAGGCTCCGGTTGTGGATTCCTCAAGAAAATTCACCTGCCTTGGCCTGGGCAGCCTGGCAGTATTTCGCCCACATGCAAATCACGGAACCTCTTTCTCTTTTATAAAGATTATTTGTACCATGATTTGTTTGGTACACATTCTGAATTCAGGCGTGTGAATATATATATATATATATATATATATATATATATATATACAATACTGACAAAATTAGCGCGGCAAAAAGGCTAGGGAAGGAAGGGCTTTTCAGGTTGAGATCAGCATTGTCGCCGCAAACCTGAGGTATTCTTACCTCATGTGGAGCATAAGCAGTTACCGAAATCTCGGTTGATAACAGCTGTGTCGGAGTTGATCTGCGCTGGCTGTGTTGAAATCAGAACGTGCTTATTCCTCCACAACTTTTACCGATTCACTCCTGTCCCGAAAATAGTAATGGAGTAACCACCACTGAGACATTCATTATTTTCCATCCAGCTTGATCTAGTGTACCGAAATCGTCGTCTTTTTATCGGTCATCCGTTAGAATGAAACTTTCGTAAAGAAACAGGCCGTCCCCACTAGTTTAGACTGTCTCAAGTTGTTTCATCATCGGGTTCTCAAAGTGCATTCAAGTTTTATGCTATTTGCGTTGTGACTCATTGAATAAATGAAATAACGACATTGAGTTTGAAAACCATTTTAGCGGTAAAAACCGTTTGGCTGATCCATAAGTATGCCGTCAATTTTGGCCAATATCAGTCGCCTGCTGATCAACGGTGAAATACTTAGAAAAGGATTCTTGTCGTTGAAAAACCTGGAATTCAGCACCAGTACTCGATTCGAAGTGTCGGACAAACGCCTACAGGATTTCTTTAGTAATCCGAAAATTCATAATCTACTTCGCCTTATAACCTACCGAAATGTGGAGGCTGCTCATAAACCACGTTTTCGCCGTTTACATGAAGACAGCATCAAGATGTTGAGTGAAAAAGAGTTGGAAGCGGTAAGTTTGTCTTATTTTCCACTCATTCTCTAACAGGTACAAGTGTTTAGCTCCGCGTTTACTTCACAAAGGCTTCAGATGCCCCCAGTCTTAGCTGCACGAAATGACAACGATACTGGTCGATTAATTAGTTCGGATCGGGGTTTACAGGGTTTGCTCCCCAGTAATTATCGATTAGTGTTCACGGACATCAGCCTGGGTCGCACCAGAAGAAATCGACTCATTGTTATTCGGGAGCCCAACGGAGATCTGCGACATGCGTCGATGGCCGAACGTGACAGGATCAATAGTGTCTATTTTCCTTTGCCTGGCCGGCGGCTTCGTACTCCCCTTATGTTTTCACCAGAGTATCTCCAAGTAAGCCTTCTATTCCGTCGTAGATTCTGCCACCATCAATTAAGTCTAAGCAATGTTGCGACAACTGATCCATAAATGAGTTATTTGAAAATACACTAAGTAAAATGGAAAGAAGCTATGTTACTCAAATTACTTAGAATGTTATATCCAGCTTATCGTGTTTTTATTCATTCGTCAGTCAATATCGCGCCTCAAAGTAATGTTTGATTTTTTGCAAAACAGGTGGCAATTTACCCATATAAAATGCTGTTGGCGGCTTTGAAATTTTGATCAACTTTCCTCTTTATTGGAAAAGGAATACACTGTAATAACCTGTATGTACATTAACAGCAGGGTGTCAACCCTGGATCATACCTTTTCGTCAATCAAGTTTTTCGGGTTTCGAATCACGGTATCTGGGTATCACTCCAGTTTGTCTCATTATCAGATCTAGATGTCCAAATAAGATGTTGACGTTATCGTAATTGCCAGAGACTCTCACTGTCCAAACTTTATAGAAATGTTTGTAATGCCATCTTTCGGCACAAAAGCTTCGCAAACTTCTGTGGAAGCGCAATGAGGCTTGGGAAAACGGTCTTATGACCTTTCGCAGCCCCAATCTCTGCCTCAGCAAAGTTGGTGCAGCTATCCTTCCAGATTGGAGCCCAAGGGATGAGAATTGCCAATTGTTAAAGACATTGAGAGATATGGCTCAGTATAGATGTCTTCCGCGCGATTTCTGTGCGGGTTGTTTGTCGAGACCTTGTTCCTCATAACGGATAAAAAACGTAAAAGTGTACGACGAAACTGTAATGTATATATATATCCAATGGTCACCCGGTGTTAGAAACAAGATTGTTGTGACGAAAATACACTTCCTGGGTACAAATTTATGAATGATCTGACAAAAGATTACCGAGTATGCATGCCTGACGAGCGGCAAGAACCGCGAAACCGGTCGTGTGCTTCCAGGGAAATTTTGTCCAGTCATTCACATACTAGTTATTATCCAATATATATATATATATATTCTACACCCTGTGAACGGGGTCAGTTATCCACCCGGTTATAATACCCTGGTATTGGCTTTTCGTCCTCTGAATTTGGATGGAAAAATATCTCCCCATGTGAAGGCACTGTACAGGGCTTCTTCAGTAGAGGCGATTCGAGAGGCTGGGTCACTGCAGCATTTCGCGATGTGCAAAGGATGGTTGACTAATTATTACTATTATTATTATCATTATTATTATTGACCAATTAATTAAAAACACTCACCCCCGACAATACTATGACTTGGAGGCACTTGTTTACTACGTGTGCATAACATGCAACTAATAATATGTTCCTATCCTAATATAAGATGGACGAATTGAAGCTTAGTTGCAATATTCAAACTGGCGTCGACTCATCCTCCTCAATCAAGTGAGTGCAGTGAAACAATATACCCAAAGGATGTTCACCTCTGTTAAATATAGAGTTATTCTAATGGAACATCAGCACTTGTTTATCAATTATGTGCACTGAATTGTTGGTTTTTCGGATGTATCGGTTCATGAGGTACGTTATGCTTTTCGCCTGACATTCAGCATACCAAATTGGGCACCTGCGGATAGGCGATAGTACTACCCCATTAGAAGATGGAGCAGTCTACCATCTAAGATTGAATTTATGCTTTGTTTCAATTTTTTACCACATATTTTTTTATATTTTCTTTTATCAACATTTTTCAGAGAGAGGAAAAAGACCGACCAACTAGCTGGTGTATATAGATAATGGGGAGTGGTGGTAGGTTTGGAACACGTCTTTCGGGGCGATAAGCAGGTAACCTGCTTGATCGATAAACTGAATTGATAATTGGTTTAACAATAGGAAAACAATTACAATTTAACCATGTAAGTGATTGGTATTTTGCAGTAGACACCAGTCCATGTGCAGAGGAATGATTCCAAAAATCGTGAAATCTCGTAATTTTGTTTTGTTCGTTCCAATTCATTTCAGAAAGGGATGTTCCAAATTTATCATAGTTTCATTTGATCGATGATTTTGTCCTTATTTTCACGCAATACAGGGTATGCTTGAACGGCGTCAGTTCCTCTACATCTTAGATAGAGCGTGTGCCCAGTTTGAACCGGATGATCCTCAATATATTCGTGTGTGCCATGCCGTCTATGATGCTGTCAACCAACTAGCTTGGACCCCAATACACACGGATTTGGACGAATTAAATCCGTTACGGAGCCTGCGTCACACTCGTCACTTCGGCCCAATGGTGTTGTATATGATCGTTCAACTGTCTAATCCCGGCCCGCTAGTATATGAGGCTCTTAGCTGCCAACATTATGCTAGGTTGGGATGGCTACTCCAGCTTATCGCATTACTGCGACCCGATTCTAAGTTTGCAGTGGCGTTTAGTCGAATGCAGCCTCCATCTCTTCCAAGTCCTGACGTTGATGCAAACGTCGTACTGA